TGCCGTCCTCTTGGACTTACACAGCACCTCTGGAGTCACTAGAATTGCAGATGTGAAGCCGAAAGCGATTTGGACAAAAGATGTTTTTCTTAGGGTTGTGTATATAAGGGCATTTTCTACTTGATCTTCAGGTTTTAGATGCCAATCCATTAATTTTTTTTGATGTTCAAGAAATTCTTACACCTTCTAGAATACAACAAGCAGATTATTTTTAGCAGACTACTTTGTTTATCCTGAAGTTGTTTTGTGGTTTGTTTTTTTTTTATTTGAAATGCAGAATGAAGTTCCTGGTTCGTCGATGGCACAGAGTTACAGGTTCTGGTATACTCAGTATCAATAGGGATGTCTTTAGCCACAACACAGGTAAATCATAGTCCAATAATGACAGAAAAAGGTATTTGCAAGTCACACCACTGCTTAATGGAGATGTTTTTTAATTTGCATTTTCCTTGTGTGGAATGAATGGGGTGCTGTTCCCCACTTCCTTTTGGTATAATTGCTTGGATTAACCTATTTCTCTGATATCTGTGGTGAGCACAGCAACTGTTAGAAACCTGAGAAATAGGTTAGTTTTTACAAACACACACCATCTATTTGCTTTCTCTTCAGTCTTGTTCTGCTCTGTTGTGGGTGGGATTTAAAAACATATGGCAACTTTCCCTATGGAGTGTGTTTGTAAAAACGATTTAGCTGCATCATTGGGTTTCTCGTAAGAGATCTGCACCCCCAGCTCTGAGAGGGGATGCTGAGGGCAGGGACGGACAGAAGAATTGTAGCAACTACAAGTCCTCCGTAGTGGCGACAGAGCCAATTGAGCCTTCTCCCTGGCCTTTTCCTCAGAACAAAATCCTGTCATTCTTCTGTTACAGCTTAAAGTTGGGGAAATCTGGTTTTCTGTTTGCCTTTTTGTAGGAGCCTAAGGAGAATCAGAAGGTTTTTTTATTAATTCCTGGCTGTCTAGGTCTGCACTAAAACCCTGTCCTGATCAGCCTGTGAGAGTTTTCTCATTAACACCAGTGAGGCCAGTATTTCACCTCTGATTTTTCTCTGAAGCAGTCTGAAAGTGGTCTACATTTGTTAAACAACATTTTTGCAATAGGCAAACAGAAAACTCGTTTTTGAGATTCCCAGTTAAGTGCAAAAGGTGTTACTTTTTTTTAGTTTTCAAGACATTGCTTTTTATATTTCTAGGTAATGAATTACGGCCTGATTCATTCTCCGGTAGCATGGATCTTTATGGAGAACAAAGGCATTCCTATAGATCCAGGTCAGACGTGGAGTCTTTTAGATCTCCTGTAAACCTTCAGCATAATAGTGTTTTATTTTAGATTATTATTCTCTGTCAGAACATTGTTTAACTAAATGAATGCATCAGTGCTTACTGCTAAGGTTTGTAATCTTTGATGCCATAAGATTATTACTGTTTTTGTAAGGATGCAAACAAATTACATCTCAGGCCTCCAGCGTGCGTTAGACTTCTGCTGTCTAATGTATGTCATGTCCTTGGAACTGGGGGTAGATGACTGGCTGGAGCTACGTTTACCTGCCTCTGTAGAGTCTAGGCTTTACAACCAAGCAAACCTGTCCACCTTTCTGGCTGACAGCAGAGCGCAGCGCAGAGAGGGGCTGCCTCAGGTGCACTCAGCTGAAGGAAGGGAAGAGCAGGGCCAGGGAAAGCAGGAGCCGCTCGCTGTGGCTGGGGAAGGTCATCTAGTTATGGTGGACTGGAGAGGCATTACCACAGCCTCATGGCCAGAGGCTGGGTGGAAGCTGCTTGGTAGCTCTGCTGCCTGTTCTTGATTTAAACCCTTCTGGTTGGCTGTCCTAAGATGTGATACCAGAGGTATCAATGAAACCAGGTATTTCTCACCAAAGGCAAGGTTTTTAGGAGTGCCATCAGCCTTTGATACTTCATACAGAGTTGTGGGCTCTGAGCTTTACTGAATATCAGATTCTTGCCATTTTGGATCTTTATAACATTTGTAATCTTAGTTTGCGGCAACAATAACAGTTTACATGGAAAAAATGTTTAATCTATTTTAGCCACTTTTGACTTTTACTTATCGAAAGTAATGAAGAGAGACAGAATCCTGTAGAGATGGCTGTGTCCTTGTTCACACAAGCTTCTTAGTAGAAAAGCAAATGTGAATCTACGGCGGCTTCTGCTGCAGTCTCAGTAGGAACTTGCTGGTCGGTCTTTGTCTCAGAGAAATGCAGCAACAAATCAGGTGCAGTAGAAAGAAAAGGCAACTGGGAGAAGTGGTTTCCGTGGGGGAGGCAGTATGGTGGCTTGGGCAGTAAATGGCAGGGAGGTTAAATGGGTATGTGCTGGCTGCCACAGGGGTAAGTTAAGGGACATGCAGTCAGTAAGGTGTCCCTACTTACAGTATTTTGCTGTGTCTGCTGATGTTTTCGTTTTGTTTGGAATTTTGCTCTTTACAAACATCTATGTTCTTCTGCCCCTAGGTTCCACGGTATGCATGCTGATTTAAACCCAGTCTCTTTCACCTGTCCTCAACTGCAGAACTATGATCCTGAAAGAGCTTTAACAGATTACATCAATCGTCTGGAGGCACTACAAAGGCGACTGGGCAGCGTGCAGTCAGGTGAGGGCTCAGGCAGGCCTCCCTGTGACTCCTGGGCAGCACGGGGCACGCTTCCAAGTTAGGATGCGTGTGCTGGTTCTCTGAGATGCTTAGCAAACATCTTTGATTTTAGGTATTTTCAGCCTTGAACAAGAGGCTATTCTGAGCTGTAGCAAAAAGCTCATTAAAAAGAAAACTCTAATGTTCTTTGAAGGTAGACATACAAGTGTGCTTTAATTACAGATTTTATTGGTAACGCTTTGACTTTCCTTGATCTCTAATAAACGTGCATCAAGGATTCAATTGGCATCTTGCTAAGATTTTTAAGCTAGATGGAGAAAAATGTATCCAAAAGATTGAGCAGTGAGAGTACAATGAGAATTTCTTCTCCTGCCACTAATCTGACAGAAGTTATAGCTTTTTTGTCCCATAGATGATGGTAATTTTTGTGTTGTAAAGGGAATACATCAAGAAAATTGTCAGATCAATGGAACGTAGTTTATCAAACTTGATTTTTTCAGTTACTGTGTTAGTCTTACTTCAGCGTAAAATCCATCATTTGAGGAAGTTTTGTTCTTAAAGATATCCCATGTAACATTTTTCACGCTTATTCATCTAAGTAACATGTCATTGGTGAATTCTCATCTACTTATTCCAAGTAATCTGGATGAAAGTCTTTCTCCCTCTTACAGGTTCGACTTCATACACTCAGTTCCATGCTGGTATGAGAAGATAATAACGCCCTTTCGACATCTCCATCACTGGCAGTGATGTTAATGGATTGCCTTCTGTAAATCTGTGCTCTTTCTGTGCTTTTGTATAATGTGTATATTGTGGGACCAACATGAACACAGCTATACGATTGTATACGGTTCCATCCTGGCACACCCACGCAGACTGGGATTTATGTATATAGGCACTTCGTGTTCATGAAAAAAGAAAAAAAAAATACCCAGAAAACCCACCTCACCATTAAATTACATGTATATTTGTGGAATGCTAATTTAAATGATTAACTTATGAAGTATGTATTTATCAAAAGGGTGCGAAGATGAAACTTGTGTATTAATGAAATTGAGCTACACTCGGTGAAGTTTACTTGCACTTTTTCTGGCAAGGCTACTGAAAATACACGACTCTCGTAACATTTGCTACTGGCAGCGCAGCAGAATATCACTTGTAGAGACCTATTTTTGTAATGGTAGAAGTTTTGAATTTTATGGGTATTTTGTCAAAAGTACTGAAATAAAGATGACTTCATGCTTTTAGCTGTGTTCAAGTACCGTTCCCTTATTCACGCTGAAAAGCTGGCTCCCACCTGCGCTCCTACTCGTGGCGGCTGCCGCTTTACTTTTTACAGATTCCAAAACGCTGCCCTTAACAAGAAGGGAGAACAGGTACACGCTTGGTTTCTGAAGACCCTTGTCATGTCTTACAGGGCGGGAAGGGGAGATACTGCACTCCCTCAGTTGCTGTGACTGATACAAACACAAGATTTTGTACCAGTTACCCCTGAGTTTAGAACAGGACAGATGGGGCAAAGCCCTTGCTACAGTAAGCACTGATAAGGGGGGGAGCTCTTTGCGTGACCGAATTCATACTTGAAAGAAAGAAAGAAAGGAGCATATTACAAATTTACTTAGAAAAGCTTTTCAGAACTGACAGGGTTGAGCACAAAAAGCTTCCAAAAGAGGTTTGTTTATAAATTTAATTCAAAGTTCCTGTGAGGTCATTACCGTTTATCATCATCACTCGAACCACATACCATTTAACAATCCTGCATGAGTCAGTACAAAGGGGGACAACACTCAGCTATTTCACTTATACACAAACATGTTATTTACAAAATTAATATTGTTTCTATCATCATATTGTTACTTTCACACTTAACATCAAGCTTCCAGACATCACGACTTTCAGGGTTTTTTTAGAGAATTATTTGTTGCTTTCTGAACCTAAGCATTTTGCAACTGCTTCAAATTAGACATTTAAATTGTTTATTCTTCCCCGTGAACATTTTGTAGTCTGTCTACTACTCAGTTGTACAGTAACATTTTTCTAAATAAGTATGTGGGCACAGCCAAGAAGCTGCCAAGAACAGACCTAGTTCACTTGGAACAGGATCACAAATATCCCAGGTAAGGCTCCACCATGTACATTCCCTCTCGATGCCTGTTACCCGATGGATTTACTGTAATTGGATACAGAGTTCAGGTAGGCAGTCTTACCCCTTGTCATCTGGGGAAATGTGTAATCTTCAATTATTTTTTCAAAAGCAAAGAGTTCCATTTATAGAAATTACTTATTTCTTCATCTGAAAGAGTTGTCATGCACCTTAAAAGTGTTACACCAATAGAAAAGACACTTTTTCTTTAAAAATGTAATGAGAAATTTGTAGAACAAGCAATTACACAGAGCAGCATTAAATGGTGTGGGCAAACAAAGTAGATGGAAAGACTTTGCATTTGTATTGTTGCTTTTCTAACAGTACATGTAACAGTTTCCATATGCTGCTCATTTTGTCACAATGTCATTTGAAAGTCTGTTAGTTTACACAAGTAAGTAAGTTTTTAGATCCAGAATTTACAGTGACCTCCTCTTATACCTGATAACGGGGTTATTAGGTGTGTGTATCATTGTTGTATAATTTATAGTCGGAAAATAGTCATTGATGAGATCAAATTCGTACAAACGAAGCAAAGTAGACCAAATAGTCTTAATCTGAACATAAGCAAAGTTTTCTCCAATGCAGCGATGACGGCCTAGAAGGAAAGCCATAAAAAGCAGTTAGAACACTTATTAAATCACCTTTGACAGCAAACTAACTTTAAAAATGTTAACGTGGACAGAAATTGCTTCTTTCCTTTCTAAAGGTGAGGCTCTGATGCTGCACATACACCATTATGTAACTCCATCAAAGTCTTGGTTTTATAAGCTGTCACTGTGTAAAAGAGACCAAGTAACTTGGATGAGATTGCGTCGTTCTGTCCTCAGCAACAGCAAGTGTTAATTTATGTATCACCAAAGAAGCATTTGCAACGCTGAGAAAAGATCTCAATGAAAACCATGTTGTGGTGATACCTGCAAACTGTTTTGGCAGTTAAGACTCTCTGCAGATTTTTGCTCTGCCTTAAACTGGCTTTGTATTACCAGGTTTTTTACCTTGATGTAAAAAGAGTCAAACTTTACACATGCTAACCTGAAGGTTTGTTTGACTGCTGCTCCAAATGATACACCGCTGCTACTAATGCAAAACTATCAACTTCATTCTTTTAACAGCACTTTCGCAGTAAGAAAACTTTCAGGCAGCAATAGAAAGAAAAAAAAATGTATCCTCAGATGATACAGCGTGGGGAGGTGCTGCATGAGATGACCAGTCTGAGTCACTTCAGCACGCAATCGCCCAGGAAGGTGCTGCCTCTCTTCTTACTCACCAGCGCCAAACGGAATGTAGGTGAATTTCTCTCCAGCTGCTGGGTTATCTTGGAGATACCGGTCAGGCTTGAAGTCTAGAGCATCCTTCCAGGAGTCCCTGAGTCTGTGGTTAACAGTGGGAGATACGCAGACCTGATGGCCAGGGGGAATATTATATCCAGCAACAGTCTACAAGACAAGAGGCGAGACCCCACACATCACAAAATTTCTCCATTTATTTTTTTTAAAGCGTTGCCTGAAGCACTGTTATCATAAGGCATAAATCTTAGATTTTGGCTAAGCTCATTTAAAATTTATGCAGCCTAATACTTTACTGTTTTAATTGTACAGGGCACAATGTTTAAGTAGTTGTGGGAACCTTTCAGCTGCTTTAACAAGGCTGGCAATTCTACAGAAAGTTTTTAAAAAAGGAACGAATTTTTTTAAAGCATTTGTCATGGGAGGGACATACTTTGAAAGCATTTGACTTTGTCTTATTTGTACAAACGGCAAGTTTCTTTCAAATTTACATAGCTTGTATTGTATTAAGTACAAGCCAAATTTTTCTAAGATAGCTATTGAAAATACCTGGCAAACAAAAAAAAAAATCTTTAAATGGTAGCACCAAACTAAGAACTCAAGTGAGACTGACAGCTAAAAGAAAGGGTCAGTTTTGCTGAACAAGACTGCAGGTGCCTGCTACTAGGTCCCCTCAGAGCCTTCCCTTCTTGAGGCTCAACAAACCCTGTTCCCTCAGCCTCTCCTCACAGGACTGCAACCCCCTGCTACCATACTGGGGGTCCTCTGCTTGTTTCACTGTATCAGTATCTCCATTGTGGGAAGCCAAAGAAGTCCAAAACTGGACATAAATAATTCCAGATGAAGGTAACAACCATCAAGTTCGAGGTATTAATTGCTTTCCTCAATCAGCACTGGCTACATTCTCACTGATATAAGCCAGGATGCCATCAGCTTTCATCCCTGCCAGCAAATGCTGCTCAATCATGTTTTTCCTTCTGCCAATCAGGCCACCTCCCTCCTGGCCTTTTCCAGCCTTGTTCCACTGCAGTGAAGTTAGCTCCAACAAGTGTACTCACCTGGGGAGTTCTGGCCATTCTCATCATGGTCATTATAGGAGGTCTAAGCCTTAAAGTTTCTTTTAGACAGCGATCCAGCAAACTGAGATCCTTCAGCTGAAAATGCAGAGAAAATAATATATCAGAATATTTATTCGACACAAACAAAATAATATTTTATACCATTTAAAACCAATTTTTTTAAAAATATTCAAAGAGTAAGCAGCTCAAATTTATATGTACTCAACATGAGCCGGCAATGTGCGCTGGCAGCCCAGAAAGCCAACCGTGTCCTGGGCTGCATCAAAAGGAGCGTGGCCAGCAGGTTGAGGGAGGTGATGCTGCCCCTCTACTCTGCTCTCGTGAGACCCCACCTGGAATACTGCGTTCAGCTCTGGAGCCCCCAACACAAGAAGGACATGGAGCTATTGGAATGAGTCCAGAGGAGGGCCACGAAGATGATCCAAGAGCTGAAGCCCCTCTCCTATAAAGACAGGCTGAGAGTTGGGGCTGTTCAGCCTGGAGAACAGAAGGCTCCAGGGTGATCTTATAGCAGCCTTCCGGTACTTAAAGAGGGCCTACAGGAAAGCTGGAGAGGGACTTTTAACAAGGCCATGGAGTGATAAGACAAGGGGCAATAGATTTAAACTGAAAGAGGGCAGATTTAGATTAGATATAAGGAAGAAATTTTTCACTGTGAGGATAGTGAGGCAGTGGAACAGGTTGCCCAGAGTAGTTGTGGATGCCCCATCCCTGGAAGTGTTCAAGCCCAGGTTGGATGAGGCTTTGGGCAACTTGGTGTAGTGGAGGGTGTCCCTGCCCATGGCAAAGGGTTGAAACTAGATGATCACTGAGGTCCCTTCCAACCCTAACCATTCTATGATTAGCTACCCTGATAATTTTTTTTTCATTTAATTCAATTAAGAAGAAAAAAATCTCTGACCAGTGAAAGCAATTGCCACTAGTTTCTTACTAATCTGTCTCACAAGTGTTTTCTAATGCCTAATTAAGAACAAGGTTACACTGCATTCCTTTCCTCAGCGGGAATATGAGAATGTTCCTCCCCTACAGAACTATCACTTCTTAAATAGAAATTGTAGGAACTGTAATTTCCTTAATCAACACTGATTAAAAAAACAGTAGCAAGCTAAAAATTTACTTGGAGAGGAGGAGATGGAGGAGATACATTGGCAAACAGCGTTAGCACAGAGTTACTGTGCCAGATAATTATTCTAACACAAAGCATATGACTGAATTTCATGGGGTTTTTGTTGGTTTGTTTTTTTTTTTAATCAGCATCTAAAAGCGTAAAAATAATATATAGCATACAAACCTGGTCGTAAGTTAATGGTGGCAAATCATCCCCACAAACTGTTTTTTGTTCTGCATAGCACTGTTCCTGTATTGATTTGTCTCTGGCTATGAAGAAGCCAAGCCAGGCGCTGGTGGTGGAGGATGTGTGCTGCCCTGCTAGGAGCAACCCGATAAGCATTCCAGCAATTTCATCATCTGTCAGCGGACAGCCATCCCTAGGATGAAAGGTGTTATGTTAGAACTTCATTTGATCAGGTTTCCAGCTGTTGTAGTATTTACAAATTCTTCTAATGTACTTTTTTCACATTCTTCTCTTTTGTTGCCTACTCTAATGGAGCAGCAAAAGACGTAGGTGTAGGGAGAACTCCGGAGAACAGAGGGAGAGAGACTCTCTACGAGCCTTAAGGAAAATCATTACCGAGCAGCCAGCAAAGAGAAAGGAAGCAAACTCATGACCACTGACAAAAATCTCAGAAATCTAAATAACCATTTACAAGTTAAGATTTTAAGCTGTTTTTAAGAATACAGCTAGGACCAATTGCTGGCAACAAAACAAATTCAGAACGTGAGGGAATATTTCTTATTTTTCGGTAGATAGTTTGAACTGAAGAGTTCAAAGCTAAAGTAAAACACCTACAAATGACAAGTCTTCAAACCCTTTCCTTACTTGTATGAAGCATCAAGTAGAGTTTGGAGCATGTCATCCTCCCGCTCCTCAGACTTTCGACGTTTCTGGATAACCTTGTAGAAAATATTCTTTATTTCTTTGTGTGCTCGATCTCGACGTCTGCGATTCAAAACACTTCTATTAGCAACTTTGTACAAAGTAACTCATAAAATGCTTGTGAGGATTTATTTGGAAGTCTAGAATAGCTTACAAACAAGAAATGGGAAGGAGGGGGAAATCCAAACAACAAAGAAGTTTAGATAAAATGCTTAAGTTGCTTCATCTGCTACTTCAGGTACCTGAAGCTCGGTAGAGGTAGCCAACCTGGCAGAAGCCAGGCAGCATGAGTAAAACCCCCATCCAAATCGGCATACAGCTGAGCCACCTTCTCATTCAGCAAGCTTCTGATTTCTTTCCCGTGTAAGCAATGACTTGCTGTCAAGATGATAAGTTCTGAAAGGGCTTCAAACAGGTCTGAGGAAAGATTTGAAAAACGTTACTGAAGATGCATTTCAGGCAAGAGGTTATGTTTCACAGGTTATTCTTTATTTTTATTTTGTAAAAGAGAAAAATAAGTAACTGGACACAGATTCATAGAATCATAGAATGGTTCGGGTTGGAAGGGACCTCAATGATCATCTAGTTCCAACCCCCCTGCCATGGGCAGGGACACCCTCCACTACACCAGGTTGCTCAAAGCCTCATCCAACCTGGCCTTGAACACTTCCAGGGATGGGGCCGCCACAACTTTTCTAGGCAACCTGATAATTTTTAATAAATAATTAAAAAGCTGATAATTTTTAATTAAGAATTTTAAATGAGTTTTAGATTGTTTTACTAGGAGAATGAAGCATCTGATTTTAAATTTCTGTCTGTCTATCAGGTCTCTCTTTGTCGTGGGTTAGGCCGATCCGGAACCATAACACTCTTCAAACAATTTCTTTACTAGATCACCAGTTCAAACAACTTTCTTCTAAGATATTTCTTTCTAGTAACTTTTGTATGAGAGCTAGTAATCCTTCCAAAGTAAGACATGCAGCACAAGCTCAATCCTTAATAAATATAAAAGAAGTCATACAAAAACTTAACCTTGAAATCCAAATCCATGGGAAATCAGATAGTTTTGCTGCTCACTTGATTATTTTTATAGAATAATACTTATCCATTTAAATATAAAATTATATTAACTACATTATACATAATATAAATTATAAACTTAAAATAAAAATATCTTAATAGATGTATTCTATATTATAAAAATGTTATATATTGAAATATAAATACGTATGCTTAAATAATATTTTTGACACTATTATGCCACTGTGGGCTTGCAACAATGGTGATGGGCTATCTCTAGCAGGCTAGTTGGGAAAGGCAGGTGGGAAATAAAAGAATTCCACTTACATCACTAACCTAACTGTTTCAGCTTCAAGGATGCAGTTGTGTCAGTGTAGAAGATCCCTGAGCTAAGATCTCTGACACAGGCTCTGGAAAGTCAGAGCAGTATCTTTTCCTAGGGACTAAGAAGTGGTTACACTGAGCTGACTTGTATCGCGCAGAACAAGCACAATTCAGCCAGGCAACAGGACGCTCTCTAGGAGCTGACTGGGAAAGCACAAGTAAGATAGTCCTTCGCTCCTGTCAAAGACTTTCTGAGTACCTTTATTCTCCAATAGCCTTAAATTTGATTAAACAAAATCTGTATTCTCCACATTTCTTCTGATGTTCAGTACAGTTTTACCTATGTAATTTTTCATTTCTTTAATATTGCAGTAAATAATTTACAAAAACATACTGCATTTGCTTTAATTTCTTTCCAGAAAATCTGAGGAAAAGCACTTCTGATCTTTCTTACTTTTTTCTCCGCTGTCTCCCCATGCTTTGAAATACTCCTTTGTTTCCTCTTCAATGATAGATACATGCTGTTTAAACTGGGCAATATTTAGCCCAGTTTTGAGCATCTTCTTCTGTTCCAAAAATACCTAGAGGAAGCAAGACAGAAAAAGCAATCAGTACAAGGATCATCATATTATTGTAATTAAAAACTTATTATCATTTGTACTATAACAACATACAGAAGTAAAAAGAAATTATCATCACGATTGTAGGGTACAACAGATACTCAAATTTCAATAATTGATAATAATTTTTTTCACCTTTTTTTCAAGCAAAAGTTTAGTAACATCCAAGTAAGATACTAGCTCAAGGGAGCTACAATTCTCTCTTTTACAGTACCAAACAGAAAATAACTTTAATATCTTTGTTAAACTTTATCCCTGAAGATACGTGGAGCATTCAAGACTGAAATGTGGAACGCGCTTTAGATACATAATCACAAATGTGATCAGACCTGTCCTTGCAACATCTGGGTTCACTCTGTGTTCTTTGTCATGTGGCCTCCTTGCTTTCTCTGCCCCAGAGCTTCTGTCTTCTCTCATGCAGTAATGTGTTACCCCTGGCCCAGAGATGCAGTTTTGTTTTACAAGGCCCTCTGATCTCACTGACCAGGAAGTCAGACACAGAAGCAGGAAGCAAACCGCTTCCTAGGAAAATGGTGAGCTTCACGTCTTTCTCACCTCTTCCTCTTTTTCTTTGTATAGTCTCACAGCTAACAAACCTACTGGTAAAAAGCCCATTATTAGATGAGAACCGCTCAACAGATTGACAGGACATCTACTCAGAAAATTATTCAACGAATTTTAAGCCCTAATTATGAATTAGAGGATCTGCCCTATGGATCTGCACTATACCATGTGCAACACACCAAAAAATGTCTTCCCACCAAGGGCTCTGCACGTACTATAAAGTTATTCACAAAACAAAAGGCGTAAGAAGAAAGGCTACTTCCTAGAAACTTCTGTTTTCAGAATGCAGCGGGGACTTCAGCAGTCTCTCAGGGTACACACGCCACAGCGCAGAGACAAGCGCATTTCCCCTTGCAACATGCTAGCCCATCTCCAGCTTGATGGAGACAGGACTGGCACGCAGGAGTGAATGCATCCTCTGACATTTCAGCTTCTCTCAACACAAAACTTTTTGCAAGAGGCTTGGAGGGAGGAGACAGAGTGAGTGACTCGATACACAGACTATGCATATTAATAAACAATTACCAGAATTAATGGTAAATAAATAACTTCTTCGTTTTAAAAGAGTAAGTGGTGGTTCTTTAAAACACGTAACTGAAAGTCACTGTCAGACTGAAGAGCTAAAGACTTAGCAGCTTGAGCAGGGAGAACGGGGCTTCAAAAGAAGGTTCTGGATGACCCATCAATGGTAGAACACCAATGAAAGCTTGAACAGCTCTCTAAATGCCTTCTCAGTAGATGTCATCTATCTGGACTTCTGTAAGGCCTTTGACATGGTCCCCCACAACACCTTTCTCTCTAAATTGGAGAGATATGGATTTGATGGGTGGACTGTTCAGTGGATGAGGAATTGGTTGGATGGTTGCATCTAGAAGGTAGTGGTCAACAGCTCAATGTCCAGATGGAGACTGGTGACAAGTGGTGTCCCTCAGGGATCTGTATTGGGACCAGTACTGTCTAATATCTTCACCAAGGACATAGTGGGACTGAGTGCACCCTCAGCAAGTCTGCAAACAGCACCAAGCTGAGTGGTGCAGCTGACATGCCTGAAGGACAGGATGCCATCCAGAGGGACCTGGACAAGCTCGAGAAGTAGGTCCATGTGAATCTCATGGGGTTCAACAAGGCCAAATGCATGGTCTTGCGCATGGGTCAGGGCAAGCCCTGGTATCAATAGAGAATGCAGGATGAAGAGGTTGAGAGCAGCCCTGCGAAGAAGGACTTGGGAGTACTGCTGGACATCAACCAGCAATGTGCACTTGCAGCCCAGAAGGCCAACCGTATCCAAAAGAAGTGTGGCCAGGAGGTCGAGGGAGGTGATTCTGCTCCTCTGCTCTGCTCTGGTGAGACCCCACCTGCAGTACTGTGTCCAGGTCTGGAGCCCTCAGCACAGGAAAGACATGGAGTTGTTGCAGCAGGTCCAGAGGAGGGCCACAAAAATGGTCAGAGGGATGGAACACCTCTCTTATTAGGAAAGGCTGAGAAAGTTGTTCAGCCTGGAGAAGGCTCTGGGGAGACCTTACTGCAGCCTTTTAGTACTTAAAGAGGGCTGTGGGAAAATAACCGAAATTGGGGAAAATGGAGAAATACAGCTTCGTAAAGTTCAGCTTAAAGGCTGCAATATTAGAGCAGCTTTGAGGTGAGACACAGTTGCTGCTCCCAGGATGGACATGGCCTGCTGGTCGGATGGAATGAGCAATGTCCTTGAAGCGGGGAGTAGAGTGGTACGGAGGTACCATGGCTCATCCCTGTTATCAGGGGCAAAGGACGTCTGGTGAAGATAACCATCTAATTGCCCTCGTGCAAGACGGATCACAACTGCTGCCTCAGCAATAATGCTGAAATCGTGTCCTGTAGTTGAACTTCGCTCATTATAATGTTATTATAACACCAAAACACACCTCCACCTCAAAAGCTACCCGCCTCCAGGCTGTGATCACCCCTGACTGAGCAGGCGCCCTGAATTTCTTCTTGCCTATACCTTTAAATCGAAGTGAGAAAAAATCCTAATTGGTGTAAATTAGGAACAGGAAGACCCAGAAAAGGCAACCCAAAACAAAGGGCATTCTGATTCCTCACCCCACACGGCAGAAGACAGTAAGTCAAAGGTGAGCCACGAATGGAAAGAAGTCCGTGCTCGGGGTAACAGGCGACCCCCGCGCTCCTTGCCTACCTCAGCTCCCCAGGTGCCCTGCACAACAGGTTTGAGGCTCTAGAGGTGGAAGGCCCGTCGATGGATGGTGTAGCTGAGGGACCATCTGCACTGGAGGTGTCACCAGGGTCAGAGAGGACTACCCGTTGTATCAAGACCACCTCCACAGGGAAGAAAAGAAGGGTGGTAGTTATAGGTGACTCCCATCTGAAGGGGATGGAAGGTCCAATATGCCGGGCTGACACTGCTCTGAGGGAAGTCTGCTGCCTCCCTGGAGCCCGGGTTAAGGACGTTGCTAGGAAACTTCCTATCCTGGTACAGTCCACAGACTACTACCCTTTACTGCTCTTCCATGTGGGTGAAGATGAAACTGAAACACGGAGTCCACAGTCGATCAAGAAGGATTTCAGGACCCTGGGACAGGTGGTAAGAAGATGTATCTGGGGCACAAATAATCTTTCCTTCCATCCTTCCAGTTGCGAGCAGTGACACTGGAAGAAGCAAGTGCATTCAGTCGATTAATAAGCGGCTCCATGGCTGGTGTCATCGCCACAATTTTGGCTTTTTTGATAATGGCATGGGCCACATGGCACCAGGCCTACTGGCACCAGACAGGACTTGCCTTTCTCAGAGGGGAACGAGGGTCTTGGCACAACAGCTAGCAGGGCTCATTGACAGGGCTTTAAACTAGATTTGAATGGGGAGGGGGGTAATATCAAGAATGATAAAGACATGCTGGAAGTACCTGAAGAACAGAAGAAAGGAGTTCCAGCTGCTTCAGCCAGGAAGTCAGGTTCATCTGGGGTCCAACTTAAATGCCTTTATGTCAATGCGCGCAGCATGGGGAACAAGCAAGAGGAGTTAGAAGTGTATGCGCGCCTGTTGGAATATGATCTTATTGGCATCATGGAGACGTGGTGGGATGAATCCTATGACTGGAGTGTCAGAATAGAAGGGTACAGGCTCTTTAGGAAGGACAGGCAGGGGAGATGAGGAGGAGGGGTTGCCCTCTATGTCAAAGACCAGCTGGAGTGCATGGAGCTGCACCTGGGGACGGATGAGGTCCCAACTGAGAGCTTATGGGTTAGGATTAAAGGGAGAGCAGGGACAGGGGACATAGTAGTAGGGGTCTGCTACAGACCACCTGACCAGGAGGACTGGGTGGATGAGGCTCTCTACAGACAGATAGAAGCTGCCTCACGTTCACGCGCCCTGGTCCTCATGGGAGACTTCAACCACCCTGATATCTGTTGGAAGGACAACACAGCAGGGCATAGGCAACCCAGGAGGTTCCTGGAATGCATGGATGATAACTTCCTTCTCCAAGTGGTAGAGGAACCAACGAGGAGAGGTGCTTTGCTGGACCTTGTTCTCACCAACAAAGAAGGGCTGGTGGGGAACGTGACGCT